CTCCGCACTCCCCCTCATTCACATTGATAGGATTTTTTGTTCTGGTTTTTTGATGCCTGATGCCTAATCCCATCGGCCCCTCATGATCAGACAGGCTGGTATGTTTCTTCCAGGTGGACTTTGTTACTTCTCAGATAGATAGTTGCTTGTTTATCTTCAAGCCTTAGACCCCAGAGGCTGTATCTTTTGATAGCCGGGTGCCATCAGCTTTTTTCACCACATTTGCTTATGTACCCATTTTGTCTTCAGCAATCATGTCAGGAAGCTGAGCATCATGGAATGCCAGGTTATTAGAACAAAATGTTCTTGCATTGAGGAGGAATACTTGAGTAGAGGCCCAATGTCCATCTACTACCTTAATACTTAACATATAAACATGTTTGTAGACCTATATCCCTATTGTTATATATAAATATATTCACATATATACATGCCTGTGTTTAGACCTCAGGGGCTTTGTTGCTTTACTTTGCTCCCGTTGATGATCTGTTATATTCCCTTCTTGGTTGGCCCCGCTGTGTGTGTGTGGGGGGGGGACCAACTTACTCCCTGCTGTGTGTCCCCAGTATTGTCCTCTGTCTCGGCATGCTCCAGTGAGGGGACATCATGTCTCAAGCCCTTGTAGGCCCTACAGTCCTCTCTGTGTCTCAGCAGCTTCATGCAGCGGCATCCTTCTTAGCCAATATCTGATCTAGAACCTCACTCTCTCTTTTTCCTTCTTGGTTTGCTTCCGTGTGGGCATGGCAGGCCGGTCCCTGTCCCCAACCCGTAGGTTTAGTGTTGTCCTCTGTTGTACATACTTCTAGTGAGGGGGTCAGTTTGGCTTTGATTGGGGCCTGCCCTGTACCAGGGCTCTTTTAATTGCAGAGAAGGCCTCCAATATCTATAAGAATTGTCTCATATTTGGTAAACACTGTCATTGTATGTTAACTATGATAAAGATGAGGTTGGAGACTTACTTTATTAGCAAATGCAGGTTAAATATAGGATCAAGTATTGAACTTACAAGTTATTAATAAGGTATAAAAAGCCCAGACAATTCACAAGCCTTCTCTCTCTCTCTCTCTCTCTTTTTAAACATTGCATACCTATATGCCTGGGACACTGTGCTAGGAGGAAAAGAATGACCAACCCCCCTCTCCCCCGCTGTTTTGAATAACTATAGGAGGAGATACTAGGTGCACATCAGATTATGAAATGCCATCGTGAAGGTTGGGTTGAGGGCTGGAGTAGAGAAGTGTATTGCAGGCCTGAAAAGGTGTGTTCTGGAGTACTAAAGGGTGGGTCACATTTGTCTATTAGAGAGGAGGCACCAGAGGGCATCCCAGACCTTGACTGAGGTAAAGCCCAGGGTGAGCTCTCCTGGAACTTGCTCCCCACGACAACCCACCCCCCACCCCCCACCCACGTACACACCACACAGGGCTACTTTCTCCAACCCCACCCCGTCTCCAACATCACTCTGATGTTGAAAGTGTAGAATGTGAAATCTTGAAGGCCCCTCAGAGATGCTCCTGTCCAAGCTAGCCCACCCATTATTTCACCGATGAAACGCCCACAGACCAGAGAGGCCAAGAGGATCACACAGAGAGTGAACAGCTGGTTTCGGTGTAGCACCCATGACCTGGCCTTCCAGGTCCAGAATTCTAAACTGTATACACACCTTATAGGGGCCCTGTGGTGGAGGGAGGATTAAAAGAGTGTTTGAAAGGCCGAAGACCTTGCCTACTTGGGGATACTGAGAGGGAAGCGAGCATGAGCTGACTGAGTCCCAGGACTCTTCAAAGGAATCTTTACAGGAAAGCAAACATTTGCCGCAGCCTCAGGGTCTATCACATATCTTTCCCTTCGTTTTCTAATGCTGGGTTTTGCTTGTTTGTCATTGGTTTTGCATAGATACAGTCATGCTGTACATCCGACAACTTTGTCTTTGGGGAAAACTTGCATGTATTACACAAATGCATCCTGCATTTCTGTTTCCGAAGTTGTGGCAAAGGCTCATCAATGCCATCAGTGTGTTCTGAGCCCCTGCCAGGTACCAGGCAGTGAAGTGGGTGGTGGACAGCACCCACCCTGCTGCCCCAAAAGAAACACTGCAAAAACTTCTCCTAAAAAACAAAACAAAAAACAAACAACCCTTCGACTTTAGTGTGTCAGGGCAGTCTCCCTAACTCCCACAAAGGCTGTCGGGCAACTTTCAGAAATGGAGATGGGAGAATAAAATGGTTGAGAGTGGCCATGAAGGGAAAGGCAGGGGCTGGAGGGAGGAGCACAGGGAAGCATTTGACTGGGAGCTTCCAGCTGTCAGAGAGGAACCTCGGCTCCAAGAATCAGAGTAATCAAACACACAAGCCACACAAGTCACACAAGTCAGAGCAGTCGAGTTCAGAGAGAGAAAGCTAGCGAGTTGCTTTTCAGTCGATTCCAACCCAAGGCCACAATAGGAGCAGAACTGTGCAGCAATATGTTTTCAGTGGCTAATTTGTTGAAAGTAGATCTCCAGGCCTTTCTTCCGAGACATCTCTGGGCAGGGTTGACTCGCCAGCCTTCTGGTTAGCAGCCGAATGTGAGAAAAACTCTGCTTCCTCACCAAGATCCACCTCACTTCCTCCCCACTTGCCCACGGGGGTGTCACTTTAAACCACTTTCCCCTTGGAAAAGTGGAATGATGTGCATTGGAATTAGGTGCTTCCTCTCGGCCTGCATGGCAGAGCACGTGCTCTCAGAGAAGTAGGTCTTTAGTATGTTCCACCACAGACCCGCGTGGTTGCCGGTAGAACTCGAGCCACATCATCCCAGCTCCCTGGCTCTCTGGCTCCCTGACTATCCAATCTTTCTAAAACGTTTCAGTCAGAAGATTACATCCAAAGCAATAGATGCCAGGGCCTGAGGAGATGTTCTGAGAGACATTGCCTCAGTTCTTGTGGCTCAAAGTCATCTGGGAAGTAGGTCCTGTAGGGCAGGAGCTCTTGGAGTCAGGAGATGTGGAGGACGTCCCTGCTAGGGACCCTCCCCTGTAGGAGGCGGGGAGAGGCCAAGAATAGAGGCTCTGCGGGCTCAGTTCGAGTGATTCCTAGTGGTGGCTGTCAGCTGCTCTCATGCAGGCCCATGACTCATGGTGACCTCTTATACAAGGGAGCAAAACACTGTTTGGGCCACCCATGATCAGTTGCAGATTAGGCCATGGTGATCCATAGGGTTTTCCCTGGCTGGTTTTTGGGAAGTGGATCACCAAGCCTTTTTCAGGTGTCCCTTAGAAATCTGTTCAGCACCACAGCAACACACAAGCCTCCCCTGGCAGATAAACAGCGGCTGAGAATGCAGGGCATTGGCCAGGAATCAAAGCGGACATCCTGCGAGATTCCTACCACTGAGCCCTCACAGCCCCCACCATCCAGCCTTTCCCTGCCCTCTGTTCCCCACCACCTCTGAGCACCCAGACGGCTTGCGATGCTCATGCAACCAGGGAGCTCAGTTGTGCCTCCTCTGGGCCGAGCCGCAGCAAAGCTGCCCCACCCGGCTTCACCTCTGCTAGCCAAGAAGGGTCGGTGTGCTGTGGCACTCGACGGCCCTTCTCCACCATCAGGAGGATGTCTGTGTCTTGCTGAGTGCCGCTCTCATGCCCTCTTCTGCAGTGCGGAGCCCAGGTGTCATTCTTGTCAACTCCTCTCACACAGTCCACCCACACCACCCTCCCTGGCTCCCTTGTTTATAGGGCTCTGCCCTCAGCTTTCCTTCAGCCTCTGTGACCACCAGGTCCCACCCAGACCTGGCGCCTGCTGTCCTAAGCTCTGGATCAGCCCTGAGGTCCCTGGTCCCACTGGGTCGTTGCACAGTTGGTCCCTATTGCCATCACCTCTCTTAGTGACCTGTCCTTTTCCTCTAATGTTCAACTTGAATGCCATGTCCTCTGCCTGCCCCGCCCCTCCCACACAGCACCCTACAGTCTCCCTCTCTTGGTCACGGCTGAGGTGTTGAGTGGGTTTGAAACGGCCCATCTGTCTCTTCCATTTACACTCTGAACCCCTTCAGGGTAGGTGCCATCTGACTTGGCTCCCCTAAGCCCTGCAGCAGTTGACCAATTCTTGCTGGGAGAAGATAGATATCCATTGTGCAGTTCAGCCTCCGGCCTGGGGACCACAGGCAGCTTTGGGATAGACTGTCTCTGTCCCTTGGCAAGGAACAACTGTTTGCCTTCACCCTCTCCTTATGGACAAGGATCTTGCCATCTCACTGCCATTCCAGCCCTTGCTTGTCTCATTCGGGACTCATCCTCCACCAAAGAGTCACAAGAGCTACCCAAGAAGAATTAAAAAGAACCTTGTGCTCATTCAAGCATGGACCAGCCATCTCTCATCATTTGGGGAGGCCTGTCCCTGTCCCAAGGGGCTACTCCAAGACCAGATACAGAGGGAAGTCACTCGTGTCCTGATGGGCCCGTGGGCACCCACCCAGGAGCAGCTGATTCTATGGGCCTCTGCCCATGCCAGCCTCTGGGCTGCCAGATCTCCACTCGACACCTTGCGCCTGTCAACAGCCTGGCCCATGCCTCAGCCTGGGGCCAGCAAACCTTTTCCTCAAGGTTAAAAGTGGCCGACCTTTGACAAGCCGCACCGCGTTGGCTGAATTCCTCATTCCTTAAAAGGGAAGTTCTCAGTTGTCACCTGCCAGTTCTTATTTGGTGTTGGAGCAGGAGCAGACCCAGGCCGCAGCTCGGCTGCCCAGCAAGAGGTTTGGTGACTGAAGGTGCACCAAGGAACCACCGGTATTAAAATAGCTGCCTTTGACAATATGTCCTAGAGAAGGGACTCCAGTCCATTGCCCAGTTTGCACCGGGGCCCATGTCGTGGGACAGCTTATTGGCTCCCACTGGCTCCTTTGCAGACTTCAGTGCCAGCTGCCCTGCACACGGCACACTCCTTAATGCATGTGCCACCAGGAACTGACAGAGTAGCCAGAACTCTCCCAATTAAATGCCTGGACTTGTTCTTTTAACACAGGGGTGACGGTCCAAAGATTGACTTGGTGGGCAGTGGGATTTCCGGCATCCTGGACAAGGATCTCTCGGACCACAGCAATGACATCGGTGAGTAAAGGAGAGCCCGCTCGCTTCGCGTTTGCCCAGTTGTAAAAGAACTGCAGGGGCCTGGCTTCCTGCTTCAGCAGCAAGATGAGAAATGGCCCGGCTACTTCCATTGCCAGAGTAACAGCCTTAGAGTGGTTTTATGTGCATCAGCTTTGGAAAGAAGGGAGATGAAGGTGGTTTCCACATTCTTAGTGCCTGGGATTTGTCCTCCCATCTCCCCCCTCCCCGGCCTCCTGAGAAATTCCTAGTGAAGTTGAAATGGAAAGAAATTACGAACTCTCTTTGTAAAAGTGGGTGGTAGCACTTCAGCTCACGTTTTCCAGTGATTTATGTATTGAAGCTGTAAGGTTGACAGGGTCAGAACTCAGACTGTCAAGTGCATTGTAGATAGAGCGCTAAGTGTTTTGAATTTGAGTTTAAACAAGCTTTGGGGTGGTCATGACCATTTCGTTCACAAAATAAGTGCACATTCCCAAGGTCAAGTCATCCCATATGACAAATGGGAGGGAGCTAGAGCCTCTCGGGGTAAACAAGTCTGAAGTCCTTTGGGGGTGGGAGAGGTGGGCGGGAGTGGATGGAGGAATGGATATGAGGCCTGTGTGTGCTCTTGAGGCTGGTGTTGGACCTGCTGATGGTCTGAGTTAGATGACAGCCTTTTCAGGAAGTTCGGGTTCACATTTGATAATTTTTAGCTATTCATTCGTCATGGTCATCCTCTCGTATGTGTGATATTATAGAGATCTACATTTTTTTAAAAGTCTAGCCCCCCCCCCCACTACAATTCATTTTGAGATGATTGTAGATCCACATGCCAACGTGAGATTCAGTCTGCCTTCTACCCAGCTTTTCCCGAGGGTAAAATGTACAAAACCAGGATGTTGCCAATGATGCAATTCTCCAAACTTACCTGTTCCCTGTTGTTCTAGTCCCCAAGGTGTGTGTGTGTGTGTGTGTGTGTGTGTGTGTACACGCAAACAATATTATCACCAGTGTAGTGTGTAGGGCCATTGCCATAGATAAGATACAGAGTATGTCCATCACCACCAGGATCGCCCACGTTGCTCGTTGGTAACCGCTGTCAGGAGTGATCCGCTGTGGAAGATTTCTAGCAGCACCTGCATTTGCTGCTCAATTTAGAAACAAGTACCAGACACTTGCTAGGACGCTAGGCCCTGAGGCCTCACCTGGCCTGCCATCACTCTTCTATCCCAGTGCTGCTGCCTTCTGAACCCCGTTCATCAGGTGGCTTCTTGGCAACTGTCAGGCTGCAGTCTCCGGTCTGATCTTGCAAAGGCTAAGGAGGGGGAGGTGCTTTGGCAAACTGTAACTAATGAAAGTCATTGCCATGTTTCCAAAATTTGCCGCACACCTCAGTCAACCTTTGAAAAGCCCAGGCAAGAAGCCTAAGCAAGAACTTCTGACAACTTGGGCTGCCACGAGACCAGCCAGAGCTCTGGTCTTCTGTGGCTTGTGACCTGGTTAAAGGGCAGGGAAAAGCACAGCAGTTGTTGACTGTGAATGAAAAGTAATCATCAGATTGTTGATGTGGTAAATATTTAGCTACATATATTTTCACCACAATTAAAAGGAAGAAGAAGAACTACCACCAGAAGGAGGCTGTCTGCTCTGCGTCCTGTGGTTTAGCATTTGGATCCCGTTGTGAGCTAGGGTGTTCGGTGGGCAAAGTGTCAGTGAAGATGATGTGAGTCTACAGGAAGGGAGGAGTTCCCTCACCTCCAGAACACGCAGGGCTATGTGACTGACGTGTTAAGATGCTGCCCTTTGACTCTCGATTTCTTCAGGTTGGAGGATCCCAGGTGGTGTAGTGGTTATGCGGTCAGCAGTTCAAAACTACCAGCCACTCAGTGGGGGAAAGACAAGACTTTCTATTCTTGTAAAGAGTTACAGTCTCCGAAATGCACTGGGGCAGTTCTCCCCTGGCCTGTAGGGTCGCCATGACTCAAAATGGACTAGACAGCAGCGAGTTTGAGTTGTGGTTTTCTTTGAGTTGGAAGAGAACCAAGGTGGCTTTCTTCAAAGTAGGAGTCACATTTTTTTCCCCAGTTGGAAGTGTTGAGGACACTAGTTGAAGGTTTGAGTCTTCTGTAGCCTTTACTGAGTAAGCGCAGGCTGAATGTCTCCAAGAGCCCAGAAAGACAATGCAGAAGTTTGGTTCTCACTTGCTTTCCAAGAAGACATTCATCCAAGAAAACTAGAGTCCTTCAAGGTTAGATTTGAACGCATGTGTTATTAGAATTGCAAATAACAATGGTCGGAGGCCAGGTCATCAACCAAGAAATATCTGAGTGTCTGCTTACTCATGCTTGAGTCCAAAGGACCTCACACCAGGCTCTGCCTTCCAGGAGCTTTTGGTCTGTTGGGCCTTTTCTGGCAAATTAACAATGAGGTCACACTCAAGGTCTGTGTGAATGACAAATGAGTTCTGAGCTGCTATTGAGTTGGTCTGCAGCTCTCCCATACATAACAGAACCAAAAGCTGCCAGGTCTCACACCATCCCCACGACTGGTTGCAGAACAGGCCATTGTGATCGTGGAGTTTTGATTGGCTGATTTTTAGAAGTAGATCCAGGCTTTCCTTTCTAGTCTGTCTTGGTCTAGAAGCTTCTACTGAACCCTGTCCAGCATATTAGCAACACACAAGTCTCCGCTGACAGATGGATACTGGCTGCACATAAGGAACTCTGGCCAGAAACGAACCTAGGGTCCCCTATGTGAAGGGAGAGCATCCTACCACTTAACTGCTGCTGCCCCCATGACAAATGAATGATAGAAAGTACATGCTGATCAGAGGAAGGGATGCTCCCTGTGGGGGGCAGGGCGGAGGGGGAGGGAGGATGTCAGTAAAGGTTCCATGAAGGGTGTGGATTCATCCCGTATCTTTTTTTTTTTTTTAGACTGTATCTCTAATCATTTTATTAGGGGCTCATACAACTCTTATCACAATCTGTACATACATCAATTGGGTATAGCTCATTTGTATATTCATTGCCCTCATCATTCTCAAAACATTTCCTCTCCACTTAAGCCCCCGGCATTAGGTCCTCATTTTCCCCCTCCCTCCCCGCTCACCCCTCCCTCATGAGCCCTTGATAATTTATAAATTATTATTTTGTCATATCTTGCCCTGTCCAACATCTCCCTTCACCCACTTTTCTGTTGTCTGTCCCCCAGGGAGGAGGTCACATATAGTTCCTTGTAATCAGTTCCCTCTTTCCAACCCACTCTCCCTCTACCCTCCCAGTATCACCACTCACACCACTGGTCCTGTAGGGATCATCTGCCCTGGATTCCTTGTATTTCCAGTTCTTACACTTACATTTGCCCAGGTGGGGATGGAGGTGAGCAGGGAAATCACGTGGGAGTGCTGATAGGTGTGCGTAGACCATCAGCCTGCCTGCGATCGAGAGTATATGCTGAGGTGGAGCAGGAGTTGACCTGAAAGCAAGTAGAACCTCAATTGGGTTTGAGGGGGATGGCTTTCTCATTTGTTCGGTACCCACTGAAGTGACATGATTGGGTTTGAAAACTCAAGAGAGTGACTGGTGGAGCTTTGATGGGTATTAACGGCTTCGGTTATTTGATGGTTTGAACAAGAGGTAGTAAGAACCCAAATGAAGCTGATCCCAAAAAGGATTGTGGAAGAAGGGACCGATTTGGAAGCAGTAATACAAAGAATTATTTCTAGGCCTTCCTAATTATTGGGTGACTAAAGGAAAAATGACGGGCAGAAATGAATGTGTCAGGAGAAGGAACTGGTTTAGGGGGAAATGCGATGAAAATTAAGTTCATTAACTTTGAGTTGAGTTCACACATCTCCTGTCAATACCAGATGAAGGCAGATGGTGTCGGGTCAAGACACAAGAGACTAGAAGGGATTGGAAGTACAGCAGAAGGGCTTCCTGGTGGACCATGAATAGGCCTCCAGATTGGTGTCTGCTGACCTGGGTTTGGGTGCTGAATCATCAGCCCCCTGGCTGGGTAATTTATCAATCAGCAATTTCCACAGACTCTCTGTGTACATTTTATAAGGACTAATAACACCTCTGTCTACTTCCTCACATTGTGTTCTAGAAGTATGTAGAATCATGTTGTGAGCTATAAAAAGTTACAACCGATTTTGTTTTCTTTCTTTCATTTTTGTATTGTGTTTTGTGGGAAGGTTCACAGAGCAAATTTGTTTTCCATTCAACAATTTTATACATTTTTTGGTTCCCTGACAGTACTTGCTATCCCCTTAATGTCACCAGTGGTCTTCCCACTTCCTCTCTGGGTTCCCTGCTCCCCTCCTTCCTGGTTTCTTATTCCTCCTTGCGTTCTGGATTCTATTTTCCAGCAAATGTGGCCTTTTCGGTCACATGTCGTTGGCGGGGCTGGGCTGAGGATTTTATTCCTGTCCTTTAATAATGAATGTTTTCATTTGCATAGAGGTGATCATCAAGTCAAACAAATATATTTCATTGTCACTGAAAGAGAAGAGAAGAGAAAGAAGAACTAAGAGCAGAAGCCCAAACCTTGGGTAAAGTCCCCAGTTAGGGGAAAGGTGGGCTCCGGCAGCATCCCAGAGGTCAGGGGAGGACAGGCTTCTCAGTGGAGCATGGTCAGGCCGCAGGGCCAGGAGAGCAGGGCATGGGAGCGGGGTCAGTCTTTTCAGCACTGCTTTTGTGTCTCTGCTTTTGTAATGTTTGCTCTTTTCTTTCTAACAAGGAGGAAGTTATTTGTCCCAGGATTGTTTTGTGAGTGATTCTGACAGTTCACATTGCCCATATGTGCCGTGCGTGGCACAGTACAGCCCCGAAAGCCATTCAGAGTCATCAGTGTTAGCTCTGAATAAATCTGTTTCCTCTTCATGTGAAACTGTAATTTAAAATTATTGTAATATTAAATTAAAGAACATGGTGTTTTCAGAGCTAGTGTGGGAAACTACCCGCATCTGTCAGCCCGCAATTAGTTAGAATGGAATCAATGGGTCCAAAACACAG